ACACACACGAAGTTGATTATCGTCTAACGAAAGAAAAATTAAACTGCGGTTTATTTTTAGAGACATGTTATGTTAGGTTGGACAGGTTTTTTAAAGTGTTACAATTAATTATTATTAATTAAATTTATTATGTAAAAAAAATTTTAATTAATTTTTTCAATTAATTAAGAAAAAGTTAACAAAATTTATTATTTATATAAAACATTTTTATTTTTAAAATGTCTTAAAAATTTGGTGCTGCAAACATTTTGTACAGGTAAACATTTGTTGTTACCTGCTCAATCAACAATTTTTTAAATTTAAAGTATGATATAAATATTTGACGAATAATGGCCGATAAATTGCTCTGGTTGGAGATGTTAACCGTGCAGGCCTTTCTAACAATCTCCCTGCACTTCATTTTGAGTCATTCTGTTGTCCTAGACACTGGTTCGTTCATTTTTTTACTCTATTTTGTTCATTCATTTCATTTCATTTCATTAGAAATTCATTCACCACTACCTCTACAAGTCTACACTAAAACTATATATTTATATATAATAAATAATTCTATACTGTACTTTTCAACAATTTTTACATTTGCCGTTTTTCTTTTAAAATACATAATTAATTATTTTTAATTGAATATGTGTATCTCCTTTGTCTATATTTGTAAATAATAATAATTAGAAAAACTTTGGATACATATTTTTTATTACTTCAAAAATGTAATATTTGTTTGGCAGTTACCATCTAGTTTATTTATAATATAAAATTATAAATGATTTATCTTTATGAAATGAAATGGAAGTATTAACTATATTTTTTGAGATCATTGTTTATAATTATATTCTTGAATTATTGTCAGTAATCAAATGACTATTCTTTAATTCAAGACTACAAAATAGAGATGTTAACTTTTAATTACTTTTAACTTTTAATTATACAAAGAGGTGAGATGGTGTGTTATAAACGATAATGAGATGGAAAAGTGCACTGATTTAAAACTAGCCATCGCTGAGAGGATACGCCAAAACCGAACTTATTCACCGGATTACATTGGCAAACCATACAAAGACCTTCCAACTTTGTTTTGTGTTAGAGGCATGTCACAGTTTGATTGTATGCAGATGGTAATGAACGGTGAGGCAGATTTGATACAGTTAGAGACAAGTCTGTCGTACACAGCTGGTCAGTACTACACTATGATTCCTCTCATGGTCGAAAAGTACAAACCAGGTACTTATGCTACTGAAATGTTTTGCACAAAACTTTGATAACAAACTGAATTTTGATTTAAAAAGTGATACAGTCAGCAAAATAAAACTTAAACTAAACCTCAAATTGAAGGCCAAGGAGATGAAGGATTAGATTTTTATGCAGTGGCAGTTCTGAATGCTTCCAAAGCTGATTTTGACATAAACACTTTGCAAGGCAAAAAAGTCTGCAGCCCAGGTAAGTTCACACACCGACTAAACACCTTAGAAAAACACCTACACTATTCACGATCTGCAAAAAATTACAGCTCAAACTTTTGTCAACACATACATCATCACATATGTATTACCAAATTATAGAACACCACTGCATCATTTCGTTTAATATAATGCATGAAAAATATCACACCTAACCTGCACCCACACACCACACCACACACGATGTTTCAAACTGATAGGTGTTGGACAGGCTGCGGGCTGGGTCTACCCTGTTTCTTTCCTGCTTGAGAATGATTATATGCAAGTGGCCCAATGCAACGTGCCCGTCAAATCAGCTGCCTTCTACTTTGGAGACATGTGTGCCCCCGATGGCCTGGCCAGATACTACAACACTTTCGGTCTCATTTTTTTACAATTTTTAAAATTTTATTTTCTATCAATCATTTATAATATCGTACAAAATTGTTTAATTTGATTAAACGTTTAAACGAAGAAAAGAATTGGTGTTGAATTTTGAAATTGTTCTTGTTAAGTTTTATGATGCGGACGTTTCCATCGACATCACGCATACGCTGCAGGAACGAATCCAGTGACAGTCTGCAAGGCTTGTGTTGGCAAGGATGAGGATTTCTGCACCATCAACGATCCATACTCGGGGTACGCTGGGGCCATTGACTGCCTCATAAACAGCAACAGCGACGTGGCATTTGTCAGACACACGACCATTGAGAACTACTTGAAGAACACGAACAACACCCTCACATTGGATGTATGTTCACTTTGATATCACGTTTCGTTCTCATATATTTCAGCTGTGGTTGTCTTTTCTTCGTTGATATTGTAGGTCTTGTTGTGGTTGGTGTTCTTATTGTTAATTTATTTGTATAACTTTTATGTTTTTTAAAAATACAAACAAGCGCTAATTGTTGACAGAATTTCAAGTTGTTGTGCCAGGACGGCAGGAAGGTGGACGTGGCGTCGTGGGAGACGTGCAACTGGGGCAGAATCGCCTCCCACGTCATCATGACCTCCACCATCAGACTTCCGAAACTCAGGGACGATTATAAAGATCTTCTTACTCTTCTCAGTTTGGATTTTGGCGTTGATGGCCTAAACAAGGATCTCTTTGAATTGTTCACATCGGTTAAATATGGCAAGCAGAACTTGATGTTCTCAGACGAGACGGTGATGTTGAAGGATGTGGCAGACGTTGCTGGTGGCTCGAGAAATTCATATTACACGTGGGCAGTCATCCCAGAACTCCAACCATTTAGTGAGTTTTGTTTATATTTTTATAATTTCATTGTCAGCTAGCGTTTTTTCAGCAAAGGCTCAAATAATACTTGTCTAGCATCTTCTTATATTGTTAGTTTTATTTTTCATTTTACCTACTTTTTAGCTTGTTCGCTTATTGGTCTGAAAATTTATCACTACCACAACTAAAGTGTTTTTAATATTTTAATATTCTTGAAACAAATATTTTTTTTTATTTTTAGCAATAACAGTGAAAAAATTGAATCCGCAGAGATGGACTTGAAAAGCCGACTGAACGTGTTGAACAAATGTCCGGTGCCTTTAGCCACCTGGTGCGTCATATCCGACTACGAGATGATGAAGTGCGAGAAGATGATCATGGCGTTTGCAGCTCGCAACTTGAAGCCAGATTTGAATTGCATCAAAGGAGACGGCGTGATCGACTGCTTGAAGAAGATTAGGCTTGGTGATGCTGATCTAATCACGCTGGATGCCGCTGATGTCTACATGGCTGGCAAGTGAGATTTATTTGCGGGACTACTTGTTTCTTTTTTTTCTTATTGTTTTTAATATTATTTTTATTGTTATTATTATTTTTATTTTTTTGTGTAAATAACATTTTTTACAAAATATTCGGTGTTTTTATATTTTGACCTATCCAACCTGCAGACATTTCGGTTTGGTGCCAATAGCGGCGGAAGACTACAGTGGCAAGAACGAAACTGGTTACTACGCCGTGGCGGTGGCAAGGAAGAGATTTGTCTACATGCTGCTCCACAATTTAAAACGTTTGCTTTTATAATAATAATAATAAAAATAATAGTAACATAGCATCTGTGTAAGAACCACTGCAAAATAAATGTTCTAGTATCCTAGCTCTCCTAGCTTAATTTTAAAATTGTCGATTGAATCCACTGAGTCAATTTCGTCGTTTAGCTCGTTCCAGGCGTTTACCACCCTGCTGCTGAAGAATCTTTGCTTTATTGGATTTTCTGTCTTCTTGAAGAGCTTGCATCTATGACCTCTTAATCCTTTTCTTTTTTTCTAGTTGAAAGAATCTGGTGAACGGTGTTTCTTCTTTTCCAGTTATTAACTTATATATCTGAATTATATTTCTTCTGCATCTTCTCTTTTCTAGTGTTGTTAATCCGCATTTCAGTCTATCCCCGTATTTTAGTTTTCCAACTCCTTCGATCATCTTTGTTTTTCTACGCTGTACCCGTTTTCTTTTTCGTTTATCGGATTTTTTCCTTTTTGCGCTTGATTTCTCTTAAATATTAAATTTTTCTCATTTCTTAAAGGTCATACGCTATATGCTTTTAACGTTTTTTTTAGTAAGTGATATTAACTTATAACTTCGTAGCGAAACTTCCGAATGCATTTCCGATTTTCAAAAATTACTGAGTTTTTGTGGTTAAAATATTGAACGAAACACCGATAGCACATATAAACAAATATATATATCACTTATTAAAGAAATATTAAAAACATTAAAAGCATATATATATATACTCCTAGTTATTCCTGAGAACATCTCAAACTTTTCTGAGTCAATCAACCAAGTGCTCTCTAAATATTCTGATTGGTTCTCTGCTAATAAACTCATAATAAACTAACTACTCTAAGTGTTCTTACATTATCTTCGACCCCAAAACCCCAAAATCCTAAATAATTTGTCTCCAAACCTAAACCTTAATGTTAACAATATCTCAATAAATCGTGCATCTTCTTCTAAATTTTTAGGTATAATCATTTCTGAAAACTTTTCTTGGAAATCTCATCTACAATCTATCTCCTCTAAAATTAACAAACTCATAGGTCTTTTCTACAAAATCAAGCACAAATTAACCAAATCCGCCTTAAAAAAAACTCTACTATGCTTTTATTTATCCTCATCTCACTTACTGCATAACCGTTTGGGATAACTCACCAAAAATCCATCTTCATTGTATGATATTGTCACAAAAATGAGCTATACGCTTAATCTTCAACTTGAACCCTTTCTTTCCCACTAGCTCTTTTTTTATTAAACATAATATTTTGTCGATTAGTTGTTAATACATTTATTTTATAGCTATTTTTGTTTTCAAGTTTTTAAATAATTTACTTCCCTCATTTTTTTCTAACTTTTATACACTCAATGAATCTGTTCAAACTCTCAAAACTACTATCTTTTACTCAGTAAAAACTCGTCTTACACTTTAAAAAAATATTGCGATCTCAGCTCTACTTACTTCACCCCGACACCACCATCTAACGATTTATATACATTAATATATAGCTGCTGTTTAAATATGAATGGGTGTGTGTTGTGCGTGTGTGTTGTGCGTGTGTGTTTTTGTCTGTCCGCTCTTATTATGATTATTTAACTACTTCATAAGTATTATCGGAATGTATTTCACTCTAGTTTACATTTTTTACAATTTTGATATAGTATTTGAATGCATTTGAACGCTGAAATGGATTTTCTTAATTTCTAACTTTTGAACTTTTATGTTTATTTATGACTTAGGTAAGGGTGGCCTCTCCATAAGTTTATTTTAAACTTAATTGGTCCTCTATAATGAAAAAATATATAAATAAAAATAAATAAATATATACCTATATACCACAGAACGGAGATCGTGTCACACGGCCGTCATGTCAGCAGCAGGTTGGGTCATCCCGGTCGACATGTTGATCGAGACAGGACAGATTAACGTGCTTGATAGTAATGCATACTTGGCTGTCTGTACGTTCTTCCAATCTTTGAAACGTTCACTTCTAGTATTTTGTTCTTCAAAATTCAAATATTGTGATCTTTTGAACAAGTTCTTTAATATTATTGCTTTTTAAGTCAACTACCTAGCAAACATTAGACGCTGATGAAATAAATTACCACTATAACATTAAGACAACAAAATTCAGTGTCATTATCTCATTATTAAAATTTATAAAAAAGGTAAAATTATTAAACATTGATTTTCGAATTTTTCTTGTCTCAGGCATCAATAGAATTCAAATTTTCAACAATTTCTTCTCAATTTTTACCCGACTATTTGTTGGTCTTAAAATTATTTGCTTTCTTTAAACGTGATTCTTAATGTTCAGTTTCAAATTCCAAATCAGCTCAGTACTTTAGCAAGTCGTGTGTGCCGGGAATATTGGATAGGTACTTCAACCCTCACAACATGAACCCGGTGAACCTCTGCGAGGCCTGCAGTACAGCAGGACCACGGAGATGCCTGAGGAACGATGATGAGTTATACTATGGAAGCAGTGGCGCTTTTAGGTGCCTCGTTGAAGGTTTGCTGGTTTGTTCGCCTCTCTGTAGACTATCTTCACTTTTGCCTTGATTATCGTGTCTATTGGACTTGAATTATGAATAAGAAAGCATTACAATAATAATAAAAAACGTTACACAAAGGCGCTAAAACTAACTAATGAGTTAATAAATTGCAGTCGGTGGTGATGTTGCATTCGTGCGTCACATGACCGTTCACGAAAACACAGACGGACTGAACCTGGCAGACTGGGCCCGCAACAGAAGGTCCGATGATTACGAGTTGCTCTGTAAGGATGGTAAACGAAGTTCCATTGATAAGTGGAATGAATGTAACTTGGGTTACGTTCCATCCAATGCCGTCATGACCGCAGGTTGAACTCATGTTCATCTTTGGTAACATTTTTATTAACCTTCTTCAAATTATCTATCAATTCAATATATGTAGTTACTGGCGTGTTTTAAGATTAGGTTAGTTGATTTTTACGCATATCGTACTACACACTCGATAATTAGTTTGCAACCAACATTTCCGCCAGGGTTTAAAAGCGATGACAAGAAACAGATCTACTGGACATTGCTCAGCTACGCTCAACAATTCTTCGACGCTGATGGGTCAGTTAGTTACATGCAAACACTACAAACATACAAGCGCACAAACGTATAATTACGGATCACCATTTTTCAGTAATTCCATTGTTTTTGCTCGCTTTCAGCTGTTCACAAAACAAAAAATGCAACGTGTTACTTCCATTGTACCTAGTTGCATCTAATTGCACGCATTCTCAAACCACCTACCAGGAACCAGGATTTTAAGATGTTTGATTCAGCAATCAACCACAGAGACCTCATCTTCCAGGACGCCACCGTCAGGCTGGTCCCCGTCACTGATCAAACGTACGAAGAGTACTTGGGACCAGAATTTGTAAGGATGATGGAGCGCATGAAACTCATCGACAAAGTAACCGGACAGCCTTCATCGGACGCTTCCATTGTCACACCCACAACTCACATCGTTCTCAGCATTAGCTTATTACTTTTATTGCGATTAACCCGGGTTTTATAGGTGTAAATAAGCAGGTCTTTACGATATACACTTTGACGCATTTTAATTTTTTATCAATCTTATTTGAAATAACATTTTTATTTTTTGTATAAAATAAAGGAATAAATACCGAAATCAAATTTCTTAATCGCCGACAGAACCTGCAAAAGTGGTTCAATTGGCAAGTCGTATTTTTGTTAGGAGTTAGAAAAATAAATTTAAATTGTAATAACGATTTTAATCAAACAAAATATCAACTCGTTCAACGCTTTGTGCGTTTTTAGAAAAATTAGTTAATTTATTAATAGTTGTCGATTGGTGGTCGGCTGGTCGACGGGTTAGTTACCTGGGGCAGGCAGCATGTCTGCCTCCATCGACATGCAGATGTTCACCGGTGATGTTCAAGGCCAGGTCGGACGCCAGGTAAGCGATTGCATTGGCTACTTCATCTGGCGTTCCTGGGCGACCGAGTGGATGCGTTAATTTCGTCTTCTCTATGAACTAAAAAGCAAAAAAACGAGATGCACCGTTACATTGCGGTAAAATTTTTGTTTGAAAAAACTTAAAATTGTTAGAAATGACATAACCGAAAACAATAAATTAAATCACAACGCCACACAAAAAACATCCAACGGAAACGTAATAAACAATCAATCAATCAATCTTCGTTTTGCGTCCAGAGACCCGGTTTCCCGAGGTAGGACGTTATTTTCTTTGCCATCAACTTTTTGTGCCAAATTAGGCGATCAGTTGTATCCATTTCATTTGAATTTAGAGCTTTCATGTCTTGCTCGATTGTTTGCGACCATGACTTCTTTGGACGACCTTGGGACGTGTGCCAGGTACTTCAACATCTGCAAGAGAAGTTATGGCACTGTTTCCACTTCGTTTGACACGACCAAACCACCGCAGACGGTGTTGCCGGCATTCGTCCTTTATATCATCTAAATCAGCACGACGCAGGATTTCGGTAGATTTGATGTGGTCCTTCAGACTAGCTCGTTGCATTCATCGGAGCATTTTCATGTCGGTTCTTTGAAGTTGTTGTTCCAGTTTGGTTGTCATTGGCCATGTTTCTGCACCATATAACAACACCGGACGTATCACAGATTTATAAAGTCTTGATCGTAGTGGTAGTGGGATGTCACGCCGCATCAATATAGAGGCAAGGAGATGCCATTTATTCCAGGCTGCACGTATGCGTGCTCGAACGGCAGCTTCAGCTGTTCCAGTACAATCCAGAACATCCCCTAGATATTGAAACGACGTGACTTTCTTTACTTTAATGGCTTCAAAAACAGTGCTATTTCGAATTTGTTGTTGTGGATTGATGCAAGCAGGACAAACAAAATTGGACACTTTAGATAAAGTACCAACTATTTTTGAACAACGTTTGTGACACCACTGGTTACACTGCTGACACTTGATTGAATTGTTACCTACATCAGCTTTACAAACTGAACAGGGCCATCGTCCAGTAGCTGTGGTTTGGATGGGTTCACCAGTGTTCATTGCTTTGGTTTTGCTGATGTTGACTTTGAATCCATGATCGGCGAGTCTGGTGTTTCAATCTTCAAACATCTGTACTGCATTTTGCTCAGACGTGGCTGTTAAAACGATATCATCAGCATACATTAGATTCCAAATGTCACCAGTGCGTATCGGTTTTTTGATTTCTTCCATCACAATTATAAATAACAGTGAACTGATAATCGAGCCTTGGTGAACTCCAACGCCGATGTCAAATGCATCTGTGTTTCCACCGTTGTGCTGACGAGAGTCTTAGTATTCGTATATATTTCCACCACAAGTCGAACAAAATATTCTGGAATAAGTTGTCGACGTAGACTCCACCTGATTACTTCACGGGGAACTCGATCAAATGCTTTTTCAAGGTCTACAAAAATGTGTGATAGTTGTTGATGCTTTGCGATGTACTTCTCTAGCAGTTGCCGAAGGATGTGAATTGCATCAATTGTTGATTTCCCAGCTAGAAAACCAAATTGATAATTTCCGATTGTGATGCACGACGTTAACCTTCTCTCAATGATTTTCTCGACAATTTTCAGGGAGTGTTCTAACAGACGTATACCCCGATACGATGAACAGTTCAATGGATCACCTCTGCCTTTGTATAGCGGAACTGTCATGCTATAGTTCCATTCTGTAAGCTCCTCTACAGTGACCATCTCATTTTTGTCATTTTTGATACATGAGGCACCAACTATGTCTTTTTTCGTACGCTTTGCTTGTTTTGCTATACGATACAGAGATTTCATTTGTTCACCTTTGCTTTTAGTGAGCCACTCTCTGCATTGATCTGTCCGAGCCAGTGCAACTTGACGTCTTACATAGTTGTTCTTCTCACGGAAAATTTTATGGTCATCAACAGATTTTGATTTTTGCCATTGCTTGTATGCAACTTTCTTTTCAGCTATTGCATTTTTTACACTGTCATTCCACCACCAAGTGTCCCGTTCATGCTGACGTTTTGTACCAGTTTTCCCACAAACTGTAGTTGCAGCGTTTATCAGAACGGTTATGTATGTACTCCAATCTGTACTGGCTTGCGATTGGTGGTCTAACTGTGTTGCGACAATCTGTTGAAATTTTTCTCGATGAATATTGCTTTTCAGCTTCCACGTTTTGATTCTCCGAGGCATTTGTTTAGACTTATGTTTTGACAGTTCGACAATCAGGTCTGCCACAAGGAGTCTATGTTGGGCGACACATGATTCGCCCGGTATAACTTTGACGTTTTTGAATAGCCTTCGGTGTTGTTGCTTGACAGCAAAGAAATCAATTTGCGAAGCTGATGATCCACTTTTTATGTTATGAGATGTTCCAACCTCTTTCTAAAATATGTGTTCAGTAAACAAAACCCGTGACTTTCAGCAAACTCAAGGATGCGGCTGCCATCTTCATTCCGTTCTCCATAGCCAAAACCGCCATGTACGTTGTCAAAACCATCTGTTTTTTCTCCAACGTGGCCATTGAGATCGCCTCTAATCAGGATTGTTTCAGATTTTGGTATTGTTGAGATGGTGCCAGAGAATGCAGCCCAGAAGCCATTTTTCATCTCTTCTGATTCGCCTGGCTGGTTGTGATTATGCAGAAAAAATAATAATTGTTTGCTTTTCTATGCGAAGCTTGATCCACATGAGACGTGAATTAATCCTTTTAATATCCAGTACTTCTTGGGCTAGCAGTTCTCTGATAAAAATTCCAACACCATTTTTGGCCTTCTTTTGACCATTCCAGAATAGTTTATATTTTTCTTTGTCTGAGTTGACATGACAAACACCATTCGATTTCCATCGGATTTCCTGAAGGCAGCAGATGTCAATCCTTCTACGCTCGAGCATTTCTGCAATTTCCAAGCTGCAGCCAGTCAGTGATCTAACGTTGAACGTTCCAAGTCTAAGTACCATAGAGGGGCCATTCTGAATTTTTCTGCAACATCCCTCCGCTATTGCATACTTCCCAGGGATTCTTGGCACCTCTTGACCACTTAAGGCATGCTGGGGACTAGGGACCGTTTTTTTCTTTGTGATGGCATAAAAGTAATTTGGGGAAAAGTTTTTACATCCGGATATCCATCCTGACGACAACCACCAGTTATAAGCGGTGGGCCTAGCCTTTTGGTCAAAAGCACGCAAGGCAGCGTGGATGCAGTTGTATGTCATACCCAGGACCATAAACAAAATGCAATAAACAAAACGTTGAAATTACAAGCGGTACATCAAAATACGTCAAACAAAACAGACAGCTTTGTATTCTTCATCAGAAGATCCAGATCTCTTGTGCAGTTCCGTCACGATGACTCCAGGACTGAAAAATGTACAGGTACAAAAAATAATTATGTTTATATCACTATCAGTAAGTAAAAGGAATACAAATATAAAAACATATTATTTGGCAAGTGGTTTTTAGTTTAGTTTAAATACTTTGAAAAAGTTATGGAAATTGATCAAATTATATTTTTTTAGTTCAAACTATTTTATAGTTTAACTAAAAAAATTAGTTTAGTTTCCATTACTATATATATATATATATACATATATATACATGTATGTATATATACATGTATGTATATATACATGTATGTATACATACATGTTTACATAAACTTGGCATAAATCATCTGATAATATTTGTCTTAGTTTGGCAAAACCACGTGATTTTAGTTTTTTGGAGCAAGTTAGGCTAAATGATCCTGGGCATGGTGGTTTGGTAACGTATTTCAGAAACCACTTTAAATGTGTAAAAATTCCATTGCCAGTGATAATTACATTTGAAGCGATATGTTTTAAATTGACGTTACGAAAAACTTCAGTAATTTTTTTGGTGATTTATAGGCCAGGTTCTGCTCCTCCTGCTAAATTATTTTTTGAAGAATTAATTTTAGTTTTAGAACAAATCACTCTTTTATGTTGCAGTATTGTAGTTGCAGGTGACTTCAACATACACGTAGAAACTTCGTCAGATATATATGCGACAGCTCTTGCTGATATTTTCTCTAGTTTTGATCTTGTCAATAGAATTAATCAGTCTACCCATGTGCTTGGTGGTACCCTGGATTTGATTGTCACATCGGATGGTTTTTTGTTAGAAGATATATTGGTGTACCCATCTGGTATCTATTCAGATCATGGTTTAGTAACTGGTCAATTTTTAATCAATCCGACTCCAGTCATTTTCAAGAAATCGTGGATCAGATCCTGGAAACGAGTGGATAAAAAACGTCTGACTGAGCTTTTGAGGTGCTCACCTATCTCGAAACATTATGGTCAGGATGATGATGTAGAATTGGGTTTTAAAATATTCAATGAAGAGCTTTTAAAAATTGCTGACGATGTTGCTCCACTTCATGAAGTTCGATGGAAACATGTCCCGACTGCCCCATGGTTTGACAGTGACTGCAAAAAGACTAAGCAAATGTGTCGAAAAAAAGAAAGAAGGTTCAGAACTACTGGTTGTTATAATGATAAAGTTGATTGGGTACTGGCAATGAAACAAAAGAATGTTTGTTACTCACTGAAACGAAGGAGTTTTTGGTTCGCGAAAACATGTCAATTTAAAAATAATTCCAAATACTTATGGCAAACGATTAATAAATTATTAGCAAAAGAGACAAGTGTTGAAAATGAAGTTGGTTCAATGCATAGCGCCGATGATTTTAAAAAATTTTTTGCTGACAAGTTGAAAGTGACCAAAAAGTCAACTGAACGTTTTAATTTTCCAGTTATTTCTACTAATACTAATATTATGTTTCCACTCGAATCGTTTTCAGTGCTGACTGAAGAACAGATATCTAAAGTTGTTTATTCGTCACCTACGAAGTCGTGCTCACTCGACCCAATACCGACGCATGTATTCAAAGAATATGCTGACTGTTTTATTGTTTACTTAACGGACTTAATAAACATGTGCTTAACGAAGGGTGTAATACCACAGGTTTGCAAGCATGCAATTGTCACGCCAATTCTAAAGAAGACAGAATTAGATAAATCAGATCTGATAAACTATAGGCCGGTGTCAAATTTGTCTTTCGTTTCTAAAATTATTGAACGTTTTGTTGAGTTAGTTTTAAATAATCATATAAATAAAAATGGTATTTGGCCTTCGCATTAATCTGGATACAGAAGGTTTCATTCGACCAAAACAGCTCTATCGGATATATTCTCTCATGTTTATTCAGCAGTTAATGTACAAAAAGTAACTTTGTTGACATTCCTGGACATGAGTTCGGCGTTCGATACTGTCAATCATAAAATCCTGCTGGACAGACTGAAATATTGTTAATGTTTAAATAAGATTGCGTTAGCGTGGTTCGAATCATTTCTTACTGGTCGGACTCAGCAGATTTCTTACTCAGGTGGTCTCTCGGAACCAATGAAACTTACGTCAGGGGTGCCTCAAGGATCTGTTCTTGGACCGATTCTTTTTAATTTGTACGTTGCAGAGATATTGGATTTACTGAATAAAGATGGTTATTATTGCTATGGGTACGCAGATGACATGCAGATTTGCGTTTCATGTTTCCCAGATGAGATGCCTACCGTATTAGAGAAACTGACAAAAACTATATCTGATGTCGGCTCGTGGCTGGGTCAAAGTAGGCTAAAGTTGAATCAGACTAAGACTCAGTTCATGTTGGCTGGTACATGGCAACAAACGTCAGCGGTTGAACCTTCATCGATTAACATCAGCATGACTGATATAAGTTTCAGTAAAACGGTTACCAATTTGGAAATTATGATGGACTCCGGTATGACAATGGGTCCACAAGTCAGTCTATTGGTTAAAAAATGTATGTTCCAACTACGTCAATTACGTCAAGTCACAAAATCGGTAGATAGAGATATAATGACTCTATTAGTACATGCTTTCGTCAACTCTAGATTGGATTATTGTAACAGTCTTCTATATGGCATAGCTGATAAACTGTTGTCTAAACTTCAGATGGTTCAGGATCAGGCTGCTAGAATGATATATCGCAAATTAAAATTTGATCATGCATCACTAATTCTAAAGGTATTGTATTGGCTGCGTGTTAAACAAAGAATCATGTTCAAGTTGGGTGTAATGGTATTTAAAAGTTTAAATGGTCTGGCTCCGAAATATTTAGAAGATAAGTGTATTCGAGTTTCATCTATGTCATCACATGGGTGTCTAAGGTCTGCTGATTCAAACACGCTGTATGTTAGAGATCGGAATCTGAAAACAGCAGATAGAGATTTTGCAGTTGCTGGGCCTATTTTTTGGAACAGCCTACCTATCGAACTACGTATATCCGGGTTATCATTAGCTGAGTTTAGAAAACGTCTAAAGACATACCTATTTGGTAACTCCTAGTGATCTCAACCGATGATGGCTTTGCTTTCAACATGCTTCATACGAGGAGAGCGCTGATGAGAAGCAATTATAATTGGCGCTATATAAATACAATATTTGATTTGATGTATGTATATATACATGTATCTATTGAATTGAATTGAAAAATAATTTATTTGGCCAAAAGCACAGGAGATCAAGATAGAAGTCAGTATGTGCAGACCACCTTAACTAACATATATGAGATGAAACATATATCAACAAAATATAAGAACTAATAAATAATAATGAAAGCAAACAAATTCCAAAATCATTATACGAAAACGATCACATCTTGAATTTACAAACGGAATAAGTTCATGAAAAAGAGACTGACAGTAACGTAATTTATAAATTTTGAAAAAAGAGAGTAACAAATGAAAAGCATACAATTGACTAAAGTTAAGTATATTAGCTGGATAATAATAGTTTGAAATGTGATCGAATTTACGCAAATTAAATAAAATTCGAAGAAAATAGTTTTGAGCCAAAGTCAAAATGCGAACGTTTGATTTCGGAGCAGAACCCCAAACAGAGATACAATAAATAATATAAGGCAAAACAAGTGAATGATATAGTGTATACAATAGACATTTAAGAAGTTTAAATCTCACACGATATATTAGGCCCAGATTTTTAGTTGTATATGTATGTATATATATATATATATTTTTACAATATTCTATAAATTCTACCGAATGTTTAGAATATTGTAAAAATTATGGTCTATTACCAACATATATACATATATATATACATACATATATATGTAGGTAATAGACCATAATTTTTACAATATTCTATAGATTCTACCGAATGTTTGGCGTTAATATGTTTGTAGTTCGTTTTTTCGATTTTTCTCACTAAAGTTTTTTGGTGAACGTTTAGTTTATTAAAATTCAAAATAAACTTATTTTTCGAATTCATGCTGCAAATAAGGCCATATTTCGATTCCGAATGAATCATCGTCAGTGCTCCTTGCTGTATATATATGGAAATATTGACTTTGTCAAGATTAACTTTGACGTTATAAAAATTAACTTTGGAGTTGTAAAATTTAACTTTGATGCGAATTAGGTGTCAGGTTTCTTAATTGGCTGGTCATCTTCTTTGGTCTCCTTTTCTTCATCGATAGCATTATATTCTTCTTTGTCACTATATACGATGCTAGTTTTTATTACTTCTTTGTTTTCGTTGTTAGTTAAGCGCCGGGTTGGAAGTGAGGTTGTCATTTTTTGTTGTATATTTATTTTTGGTTTATTGATGTCGATTAGGACTGCTTCTGCAATTTTAAGATGCGTGTAGTTGCTGTTCTGGTATATTACTTTGGTGTTGCTGTCGAGGATTTCACGGCTAATTGTGATTGAGTGTGTTGAGTCCAAATGAGATTTGATAGCACCACTCTGTTTATGCATCGTAAGCCTTTTAGTCAGTGAGGTAGTAGTAATCCCGATATATGAGTCATGTTGACGTGTACAGCCGTCAAAGGGGCAATTAAATTCATATATTACGTGATTACGCTTTAACTCAGAGTTATCTCTAGGACTGCAGTTGTTTTTCAGTATTAGGTGAGACGTCTTTTTATTGTTGTAATAAATTCGGAGTTTAACTTTACTATTTGGGTTGGTTGGTGTGACATTTTTATTGATGATATGCTTAAGAATAGCTTCATCTACCTTGTATGCTGTTGTTATGTGATTTCTGTAATACAAGATGATGTCGTTATCTTGATTGTTGGTACTAGGAAGGTTATTGCTGTGTAGTAATTT